AATGCCCTGCTTCGTCTTGCTCAGCGCGTACTTCTTGTCACGGACGCTCACGAACACCACTCTCTGCGTCGGGTCGACCGCAGTCCACACTGTGCTCTTTGCCCCTCCTACTCGAGTGAGCAAGAGGAGCACCACCCCCGTCGGCTTCGTCGGCGACTGGAGGTACAGCCTGTTCCATCGCGCCCAGGGCGCCATGAAGCTCGCTCGCGAGCCCTTGAACAGCTCCCCTGGCTCGCCACCGCCAGGCTCCCAGAAGATGGGTTCGCTGTCCTCCTCCGCCTCGGCCTCGCCATACGTCAGGAGGCCTGGCAGCAACGCCTCCCACTCGCTGGCCAGGATGGCCAGCGCCAGGGCCCAGCTGACGGGCCCAGCACGCGTCGTGATGCCAGCGCCAGCGCTGCCGTCGGCTGCGCACGCCGCCAGGCCAGCAGCCCGATCGCCTGCCGCGCGGCAGGCCCCTCGAACACCTCAAGGCTGGTGTGCTCCAGGGCTCGAGAACGCGGGGACTCTCCCCGCCACTCAAACCTCTCGAGCCGAAACTGCAACCATAAAAGACAATAAGAAAGGTGACGATTTCGGCGGCTAGAAACATTGACCATGCTACTGTAAAAGTGTGTTTGGAAAACGCGTATTCCCGCTGGCGGGGACACCTGTCCTGGGCGGTGTTCCTGTCCTGGGCGGCTGGAAAGTTTATTACCCCTACGGTGGCAGCGTAGGGGGTAATTATTACTCTTCCAGCGCCCAGGGGCAGCATAAACAGGGCCAGGATCGGGATAAATCGCTCCAGAGCGTTCCGGAGCGCTCTCAGAGCGTCCCGGAACGCTCTGGAGCGGCCGCGGCGCCCAATACATCCTCCAAACCCGCCGATTCTCAGAGATTTCGAGTTCTCCCGATCCGATTTTGTCCCGATCTTCGCGTCGTTTTACAGGTGTCCCCGACGGCGAAAAAGTTGATGTTATACCGTCCTTCGCTCGCTGAAGACCAGGCCGCTCTCGACGCCCGCTCTGCCGGCGGGCCCTTCGAGCCCGGCCGCCGCCTGCAGGAGCTCCCCCCGTGGGCCCCCCGAGGAGGGCGCGCGCGCCATGGTGCCGACGCGCTGCGGAGCCCGCCGGGCCGGGCCCCTTTTAGGTGGAGGAGGCATCCATCGGCGGCGAGCGAGGGGGGGGGGAAATTCTGGCATCCGATGACCAGGGTTGGCGGCGCGCACAATTGAAGGGGAACTGGGACACACAAATAAATACACACAAATAAAAACATTCCCCATATTTTCCCACATTGTCTGGGTTTTTGTCTTCCCCCCCACCTCCCATATTTTCCCATATTTTCCTAGGGATCGATGATTAATTGTGTCTGTGTGTTTCTTCCCCTCCTGAGGGAAGGCATCTCAGAAGGAGGCTGCTTCTCAGAAAACGGCGGACCTACATCTACAGTCACGGCCCGCGCCTTCCGAGCAGGGGCGCTTCTGAGAAACCTCCCCCCTTACCCCCTCCGCTTAGCGGACGAAGCACGGTATAAAACAAGTGGCACGCGTGCCCTGGCTCTCGCACCAAGGAGCTGCGAGGAACAGGAGGCTTTCGCCTCCTTCCTCCAGGAGTTTCCTTTTGTGGCCGAGGAAGGGAAGACGAACGACGAACGAACGAACGAACGACGACGACGAGCGAAAATAGAGAGGTCCGGGTCCGAACTCTAGAACACAGCTGTGCAAAATAATAAACCTTTCTGTCGACAGGGGCGCCTGTCTCGCGGGCGCGAAAGCATGGATTAGCGATCCATGGATCGGGGGAGGTGCCCTCCCCAAAAGCAGTCGGTGCCGCCACTTCGGCAACGGAAATCCGCGATTTCCCATGGAAACGGGGCCCGTTGCTAATCGACGCCCCTTTGGTCCAGGTTTGCGATCGCCTGACTGTCCCAGGGCGGCTGGAAAGTTTTGATCCCCAAACGTGCCACCGACGGGGCACAGGCCTCCCAGCCGCCCCAGGACGGAACATGTCTGCTTCGTACCGCTCCTCGCCCGTGGATCTGCGCGTGGCTGACGGGGAAGCATCTGGTGGGCTTGCTTTCCTCCTCCTCCTCCTCCTCCTCCTCCTCCTCCTCACTCCCCACCTCCTCCACCTCCTCCCCCCCTCCAACTGTAGGGGGTCCCCAAACGGGGTGGTGACCACACCGTGCGGTGAGTCGGTGGAGATTCGGGGTCACCGCGCGGTTTTGGGACTCGGGTCCCTCTCCGAGGACATCTCGGGCGACTGGGGCCTCCGAGGTCCCAGAACCGTGCGGTGACGGACCCTGCGGTGAGGACTCGGGGAATCTCGAGGTCACCGCACGGTCTGTCACCGCACCGTTTCGGGACTCCAGACACTTATGGCGGTGCACGGTCTGTCACCGCACCGTTTCGGGACTCCAGACACTTATGGCGGTGGTGGGAAACAAAGCCATCAGCGTCGACCGGAGACATCCTGGTGCGCCGAGCGCAGGGGAGCCCAGAATCGAATCGATAAGTCGGATCGGCGATCAAAATAAGTTGGGTCGGCAGAAATCGGCAGCCGAGTCGGATAATCGGCAGAAATCGGCAGAAATCGGCAGAAATCGGCAGAAATAAGTTGGGTCGGCAGAAATCGGCAGAAGTCGGCAGACATCGGCAGAAAAGTCGAATCGGCGGAAATCGGCAGGCCCGTACGCGTCCAACAACAAATCGGAGCCCCAGTCGGGATCCGAAACCGTATCGAATCGGAATCGGAATCCATCGGAGTCGACTCGAATCGAATCGGAGGATTCGAGACGAGCCCTGCGAGCGCGCCGAGGCCGGCCGAGCCGAGAGGGCGCGGCGGGCGCGATGGGGGCAGGGCGGCGGGGCGCACTGCTGCTCCGCGGCCTTCACCAGCGGCCGGACGACGCCGCCCGCCACGGTCTCGCCCATGCCCACCTCTGGCGGCGTGCAGGAGTCGGGAGCGGCCAAGAGGAGGGTGTCCAAGAGGGGGGGGTGCAAATCATGACCGGCGGCATGTGCGCGGCCCAGCGGGGGGGCCAGGGACGTAATAAAATAAGAAGAGGCGCCATGACATCTGGGGAAATATCATGGCCCACGCCATGGTATCCACCCCGCCCTAGTCATCACCCCCCTCTTTTCCGCCCCCGATTTGTGGGCCCTGGAAGCGGCAGGGCCGTTTTTTCACCGTTTCCCCCAAAAAATGTTCCTTGGACATGGAAGCGGCAAAAAAAAACGGCGACCGGAAACGGCAACAAAACGGCTCCAGGATTGGAACCGGAGCCGGAACCGGTCAAAAAACGGCGACGGAACCGGTAAAACAACGGCGTCGGAACCGGCAACAAAAAAACCGCAGAACGGAACCGGTAAAAAAAAAAAAGGCCCTGTCGTTTCCAGGGCCCACTAAGGGCTGGACTGCCGCGTGAAGTGCCGGTGTCGCCTCGGCGGTCCATGCATATGGCTGGGGTGCACGCTACCTCAGAAGCAGTTCGAGGGCTCGCAGTCAGAATCCCCAGCCTCAGACCTCGCTGCACGGCGAGCCTGTGGAAGGAACGAGTCTACCGTGCGGGCCGCTAGGCACAGGTCGGCGCCTTCAGAGCCGTCGCGACTCCAGGTTCGCCCAAACGGACCCCGACGCATGGGGAGCCCACGGGGAGCATCATCTTTCTGACGACGCGCAGAGGAGGGTAGGGGAGGGGCGAAGGCTTCTTATAGGAGGAGGCTGCGCTTCTTAGAAGGCACCAGCCCAATGTCTGTAGACCACGCCTGGGCCTTCCAAGAAGCAGCCTCCTTCTAAGAAGCCTTCACCTCGAGTGGCGGGGGCGGGACTAGTTTTTTCTAGGGGGGAAACAAACCTACCTCGCTTTTGACCACCCTCGCTTCCAAGAGATACCAAACGATGCCAAATTGCAGCCTGTACTGGTCAGGCCGCTTGACGAGGAGGCGCGTGGTATTGCTTGGTTTTGCCTGGAAGCGAAAGCTGGGTAGGTAATTTACGTTCTGGTGTTCGACGAATCCAAAACGTTTTCAGCGGTTCTCGTCGGCTTTCGAGCTTCGGGATGCCTGCCAGCGGCTGCGCCTCGCCGACAGGCTTTTCCAGAGCTGCCCCGATCGTCCCGAGCGGCCGCCGGAGAGCCGAGCTATGACACGACAGCCAGGGGCGGGAATGGGGGACCCAGACCCCCTCGCGTCAGGAGAAACATGTGTTTTGTCGTTTATGTTTGGTGACTCTGGGGGCCATCGCCGAACCCGGGGCAGACAGAAAACGACTCAGGATGACAAGCCAGTCCTGGGGAACTCGCGACCTCTGGGGGACTGAGTAGGAAAAAACAAGCACGACGTCGGGGGTGCAGGGGGGAAGGAGAGGGAGGCGAGACAACAGCTGCAGCGCGCGCGGACTGGCCAGCTTGCTTACAGAGAGGGATGGGGGAGGAGGAAGAGGAGGAGGAGGAGGAGGAGGAGGAGGAGGAGAAGGAGGAGGAGGAGGAGGAGGAGGAGGAGGAGGGGGGGAGGGGGAGAAGGGGAGAAGACAGGAGGAGGAGGGAGGAGGAGGAGGAGGAGGGGGAGGAGGAGGAGGGATGACGACGAGAAGAAGGAGGAGGAGGGGAGCGGAGCAGGGAGGAGGGAGACATGCGGAAATGATACATGTGCATGCTTCGCCATCGCACGGCCGCCAACCCGATGAGGGCGCAGCCGCGGAGAAGGACTCCGCCGGGGAAGCCAGCTACGTGAATTGATTCGCTTATCGCCGCTTGATGAATCCCCCCCTTTCGTCCAACCCGATACTACCCCCCTTTCGACCGACCCGATATTAGTCAGGCGCGCCCCCCACCTCCTGCTCCTCCTGCAGGCGAGTGCGTCGCACCGTGACCCATCGCCTGAAGCCTGCGCTGGCTCCTCCTTCAGGAAACGCCAAGACCAAACGGAGTGCGCCCAGACGGAATGGTCGGCCGCCGTCTGGGCTTACTCTTGATGGACTTGGCCTCGCCTGGCTTCTGTCTGGGCGTACTCCGTATGGACGTTGCTTCTCCCGAAGGAGGAGGAGCCAGAGCAGACCAAAGACGATCGGTCGCGGTGCGACGCACTCGCCTGCAGGAGCAGGGGCGGGGCAGGGGGCGCACGCCCGACCAATATCGGGTCCGGCGAAGAAAGAGGGGCAGAATCGGGCCGGACGAACAAAGGGGGTTAATCAAGCGGCGGTTAGCGAAACAGCTCACGTAGCTGGCCTCCCTGGCGCCTCCCGGCACAGGAGGCGCCAACGTATCGAGGAAAACGCCCGTCGGCGGGGCCGAAACCAGCTGAGGGCACAAGATGTAGTAACCACCCTCCTCTCCTAACTCCCACCCCAGGATCTGCCCAAGGCCTGGCCATTCTTAAACCCAATAACGATATATGTAGAGTTACGCCCTCCTGGCTTGGCCAGGGAGGCACATGCACTTCAACGGCAATTCATTAAAGCCTGCCATACCATCTTGTTAGCTCTTGCGAGTCGACATCAACCCACGCTACTCGGCGCTACATCGAAGCTAAATCGGCGCTATCTCATCGATTACCAGACGCAGTTCGCTCTGAAGACGGAATTGCGAAGGTAGACGTGATCTCGGGCCGAGGGTTCACAGGCCCCCCCCCCCGATGGGATGGGCCCCAGCCAGGACTCCACAGGCCGCCCCCCCCCCAATGGGACGGGGGGGGGGACGATGACGCCTACGCTGCTCGTGGGCCCAGGATGGGCCAGGCCCAGGGCGGACACAATCCGAGGCGACGCCGACAGTCGGTCTTTGTGCCCATTCTTTCCGTACCCATGCCGGTCGTCCCGAGTTCAAGGGCCCCACCCCCGCCCCCAGGACGCACGAGAACGCCCGGCAAGCACCAGGAAACACTGAGGTGATCACCCTCCCCGAACCGACCTCGATCCTCATGGCTCGGCCCGCCTGCACCGGGACTAGGTCTGGCGCGTCCCCCTACAGGAGGATCTTGGGGAGAAACTGGACATACCACCAAAACACGGGAAACAATCAAAGACAATTCTGTAAACAAAGCATCGTCCCCAGACTGTTTTTGGCCGATGTTTGGCAGTACCCCTCCTGTAGAGGGACAGGCCCGCGCTTCACACCAGGAAGGGCCCCACCCGACGAGACCAAACGCAAAAACGAGGGGGCACGACCTTATAGTGGGCCCCGGAAACGGCAGGGCCTTTTTTTCACCGCTTTCAGAAAAAAAATTGAACATGGAAACGGCAAAAGAAAACCCGACCGGAAACGGCAACAAAAACTGCTCCAGGATTAGAACCGGACGGAGCATCAACCAGTCAAACAACGGCGGCGGAACCGGTAAAAAAACGGCGAAACGGAACCGGCAACAGCAACGGCAAAACGGAACCGGTACCAAAAAATGGCCCTGTCGCTTCCAGGGCCCACGAAGGGCGGAGGCGATAGGGCGGGCCCCTGCAGGACCCCGCTGCTCGTCGAGGCGTTCCTGGGAGGTCTTCGGGCCGCGTGCACGCCCCGCTCCCCGTCGTCCTCACTCTCCCCCCTCCTACTCCACCCCCCCCAGCCCCCCTGTCGTTTCCAGGGCCCACGAAGGGCACGACAGCCGGCGGGCCGCGCGCACCCTCCCGCGGAGAGGCCCTCCCGCCGCTCTCTCCTCCGCCGCCCCCCTCGCAGAGCCGAGGGGGCGGCGACGGAGGGGGGGGGGGGCGGCGCGTGGCTGAAGGGGGCCCTGGGGCACACAAGGGCATACGCACAGACGCACGGACTCCCAATGTAAGACCCCCCCACTTCCCATGGGGCCCTGGGACACCCCAACAAAAGAGACACAAGAATCCCAGGATTCCCCCTTACTTTGCCATATGCGGCGGTGGACAAACCTCCCTTTAATAGACCTCCCCTTAGTGAAAACGGCCTGGGACCGAAACCGACGGACCTGGACCGGCAAAAATGACGGCCGCGACGCCCTCTCGCGAACCGAAAAAGGCCAATTCGTGACTCGACGCGTCAGGGTAGGAGGTCTGTCCACCCCCGACATATCTCCTGGGTTGTCGTCTCCCCCCCAAAAAAACTTCCCATATCTTCCGGGGGATCGACGATGACTTGTGCCTGCGTGTCCTTTCCCCTCCTGACTGGCGCATGGGGGCGAATCGTCGGCCCGGAATCGGCTGGAGGCTTCGCGGATGGATCGGCGACGGACCCCCGATGCTGAGGATACGCGCGCTGCTGGGCGGGGTGGGGGCATCAGACCCTACATCAGCGATCAATGAGCAGTTGGGGGTCGCAAAGGCCGCGGAAAAGCTCCAAGAGAGCCTCAAAATGCTTTCCAAGAGGGCCCCAACAAGCAACAATCGCCCCATCCCCTTCAGAAAACGTACGTTTTTCTCGCATGTGCGAGGTTTTTTGTTTTTTTTCTGCTTGCCAACGCTCCAGCACGGCCCAAAAGGGATGCGTCCCCCCTGAGGCTATCCCCCCTGTCGCTTCCCAGGGTGAAAAGAAGGATAACGAGCTGCATGCGCGCGAACTCGCTGACTTCCGCGCGGATTTCTTCGATCGGCGCTGGTTAAAATGCAGCTACGAATGGACAGCCTCAGAATCCAGGAACAGTTTAATTGCATGAAAAATGTAGAAAAAATGGGTGATGTGAAATAGGTCAAAATTAGGCCGCTGCAGTATGTTCTTACAGAAATAACAAACATATACAAGGCCCCGAATGCAACGGCGGCGGCGACACGACGGCAAAGCAGAGTGAAGGGAAGGAAACTGCAACGGCGCAACTTTCAAAAGAAAGTGAGTTCCAGCCGGAGAGGTTGCGTGACCTCGCATGGCGAATCGCATTGAAACAAAGGAAGCAAAAGTAGGAGGAGGAGAAGGAGGGGAAGGATATGGACGAGGAGGAGGAGAAGAAGGAGGAATAAGTAGATAGAGGAGGGCGAGGAGGAACATGAGGAG